AAAGGAGTGTTTCCCCCCTCGGGCAACATGGAATGTTGGCCACCCCACCCCCGAAAACACCCCCGGCCCCCCTATGCGGTTGGGGGAATTCTGGGAGTTGAAGTGCACACATCTTCAAGTGCCCAAGGTTGAGAAACACTGCTATAGATCCTTCCATTCATGATTAAAGGGAAACAGCTCTGTTAATGCGCAAGGCTTTTAGAGGTGGTTCCATGCAATGGCCAAACAGCAAGAAAACAGAGTGCTCCAAGAACAGATGCAACAAAATAGTGTCATCTTTAGGAAAATGTCCATGAACCATTGGTATGTATAAAATGTCTGCAGCTCTGATGTTCATTGATTAAAGCCCCTCTATGCTGCTCTGCTTGTACTCTCCCGCCAGTCTGAGAGAAAAAAAGTCCACACTATAGCATTCTGAGGTTTATTCTCCAATGTGGGGTCCTTCGTGTGTGTGTGTGTTGAAAATACAATTCCCACAATTTTCAGCTGGCCAAGATGACTTGCCCAGTTTGTTTTAAAGGTATGCTTCGTTTGTATGGTGTTTTGGCACACAATTTTGTTTCGCTGTCCTGGGCTAGATCATATGGCATCAGCTCCCAGACTTGAGTTCTTCTAACTCGGAGCCCTTGAGGTCTTTTAGACAGACTGCTCAGAAATTGTATTGAATAGCTGTCCAGTTGTATTTCTGCTCTTTAAACAATTCACTGGGCCATTTCAAGCTTTCAGTGTTACCTATCATACCTTTTTACTTGGATGTGAAAGAGAAGGGAGTGTGCTTTAATCACACACTAGGAGCTTCTCTACTACAGGGCTGAGACTTGCCACCCACTCGAGATTGCCATCCTGAGTCCAAGCTGTCCAGAACTCAAGTCCACGCGCTTTGCTGAGCCACTGGTCCCACGGCTGCTTGCATGCCATTAGTCTTCTAGGGAGTACCTGGCATATTGGCTTAGAGCCTGAGATTTCCAAAAAGAAGGAAAGTAGGTGGACACTACAGTAGAACCTAACTGCCAAGTCCAGTTCAGCCCTCTCTATCATTTTAGCTGCCCCGTCTCGTTTCCTCAACTTTAAAAAATAGAGTGCAGTTTTGCCACACAAGCTACCCATAGGACAGGCTGTGCATTTCACTGGCTTTCCACTGAGAATTGTCAGCAATCAATCCTTAATTCTCAGCTACCCCTGGAATCTTAGGCAGAACCAAGTAAGGGTTAAAATAACGCACACGTGCGCACACACAGAGTGGGTAGTGTCGGCACTGTTCACATGAAACAACTTGAGGCTTTGCAGTAGAGCTCTCTGTGGACGGGGGGAATCTTGTGGCCTCCCAGGTCTAGCCAGCGTGAGCAGTGATCAGAAATGATGGAGCTGGAGACCACAAGATGCCCAACAAGATCGAGCAGGCCACAGGCCCCCCACTCCTGCTGCACGCAATGATCTCACGAACACACAGAAAAGTCGTGGTGACACACAACATTTTATTTATTTTTTTTAAAAAAGCATCTCACACCTTTAATTCTTTGTCTTGCTATTCTTTACTCTTTTTCTGTGCTTTACATAATATTGCTAATCTGAAAAGGGAACAGAATGAAGGGTATGCACGTACAGTATGTATAGGATTATGCAGCAATGCAGTGCAAAGTCTGGTGCGTGTCGCAGGATTTAGTATTAATGGAGAAAGTGAATTCTGATTTTAACTGCTGTTGCAGAATATACAGGTGTGCTTTGTATTAAGTCCTTTTTCAAAACGAGTCTGAAATCAAGTGCTTATAAAATAAATGAGCTGAAGCAAATATGAGCCAGCAAGTGTGATGCAGCTGCTAAAAAGGAAACTGCTATCTTGGGGTGTCTTGACAGGAACAGAGAGTCCAGATCACAGGATGCACAACTGTTCCACTCTGTTTTGCCCGGGTCTGATCCCATTTGGAGTCCTGTGTCCAGTTCTGGGCACCCCACTTCAAAAAGGACAGTGACAAACTGGAGCAAGTTCAGAGGAGTCTACCAAGATAATGACGGTCTGGAAACCAAGCTCCATGAGAAACAGTTAAAGGATCTGAGTGTGCTTAGCCGATAGAAAAGACAGCTGAGGGGAGGTATCATAGCAGCCTTCAAATATCTGAAGGGTTGTCACGCACAAGAGGGATTCTTCATTCCCTCCCAGAATGAATGGGTTAAAATTACAAGGGAGGCTGAGAGCCGACATCAGGAGGAACTTTCTGACTGCACAAGCTGTCAGCCAGCGGAACAGGCTGCCCCATGGAGTGAAGAGCACTCCTTTGCCAGAGGTCTTAAAAAGGAACCGGATGGTCATCTGTCAGAGATGCCATAGTGGATCCTGCCCTAAGCAGGAGGTTCTCAATCATTAAATCAAATTTCTATGCTGATGCAATCACAGAACTCTTGGTGGCTAACAAGGTGTAAAATACAACGAACATAAAAAGCCTTAAGATGGAGAACGCCCAAGTGAAATAAGTGGCATTAGGCCCCAGGACCCCCAAGAAAAGCTCCGTCTTCAGCTTTTTCCAGAAGGCAGACAATGTTGGGGAAAAAAGGGAATCTCCTCTGAGAGGCCGCTCTAGAGGGCAAGCCCCATCACTGAAAAACAGTGCTTCTGGGCTTCTGCCCCCGACCTCCCAAAAATGGGGGACAACCAGCTGCTTCTCCTAGCAGGAAATGAGTAGCCAGGCCAACTCAAATGGGGAGATGTGATCCCGCAGATGACCTCTTAAAATCCCTTCAAACTCTATGATGGGATGACAACCAACACAAAAGCTAGCTACAAAATCTGCAAGAACATTGTTTCAAAACCAGACAAGCAAAAATAGATAAATAACATACCCAACCTGTTCTCATCAAATAGCACTTTGGCCCAAACAGCAGAGCGCCACCTGCAAATGGAGAAAAAGGGTAAGTTTCCTCACAGCTACACACAATTTGAAAGAAATGTTGACATAACTTTTGCATGCAATTTAAACACTGCAGGGAAAGGAAACATGCAACTTAAAACCTAAAAATGGGCATTTTAAGATAGTAAACAGCAATAATGGGTCAATAAGGGCTGAGTTTTTACTTGGATAACTGAGATTTTGTTGGTAAACACAGAGGACTAGCTACATCCATATTTATATTTAAGATTTAATTCTTTTTGCTTTTGCCCAAGGTTACGGTTCATTACATTGACAAAAGAGCACAAGTATTAAAACATTATCACTAATTTATGCAGATGCAAGTGGATATATTTTAAGTTATCTATTTTTAATACATCTTTTTTTTCTTTTTACCAACTTTTACATTAAAATTAACACTTGAAGAACTTCTTCAGTACTAAATAGTTTATGCAAGTTGCTGTCACAGTTTATGTAAAAGAAATGTGCTATTAAAATCAGACATTTAGGTTACCTTTTGAGTTTTTCGGTGCATGTTAGCTTTAAGACATCCTGAATTCTCCTGCGATAATTTTCCTTTAAAAGGGGGGTTTGGGCGATCTTTTCATCAAGCAAGACATTAAGCCCTGAAAGCTGACTCCAAACCGTTGCGGAAAATTCAGTTATTTACATTTTTTTAAAATAACAATCTACAAATACAACCTTTTTTTTGTTTGTTTTTGGTTTTTAAAAGTAATTTCCCTCAATCATGCACTTCTATGAGCAATTTGACAGTAACAGTGGATTTTTTTTTCACCCCCAAGCAGTTCCTCCCCAGTGAAAATCCGATTTTAAAAAAACGGCCGAGAAGGGAGCAGAGAAACAAGCCACGGTTCTACACAGCCGCCTATTCTGTTTTTAGTCCAGGAGCAAACAGCCACTTAGCCTTATAGCTGATGGTGGCTTGGGTTTTTCCCAGAGGGAGACGGTTCTTTCTCCTTGGAGGCAACAATTCAGTGGCCTGAGGCTGGGCGGACTGGCCAGCTTTGCAACGTTCTGTTTTATGCCCCTTTCCTTGTGGGCCACAGCAAACCATCTGCCTGCACTCAGCATGTCACTACTTTTGTCTGTTAAGAGCTCTGGGTCCCAAGGAAGGTCATCCAAGGCCTCTTTTCTTTCAGTATAAAGGGCTTTTAGAGTTTCTGGGACATTGCACAAATTGGACAATGGTTCGGATCAACCGTCCCAGGCTTTCTGCGGAGGGTGCAATCCATGGGGGTTACTCCTTGAGCAAGCAGCCCCAAAAGGAAGGGAGCTGGTGGAAGAATGGGGCTGTGCCCTTTTGAAATCAACGCTGGCTGCAAGGAGACGGCACCATCATCGCTTCCTACAGGCGGAAGGTCGAGAGCCGGCAGAGAAAGAAAAGGCTTTCCTTAGGCAGTGCCCTCCGGGAGGGTTGGACTACGATTCTTACCATCCCCAACTTGGGGATGAAGGAAGCCGTAATCTAGTACTTCCCCAGGAACAGCAGGTTGAAGGAGGGTGAAACAGAACATTTATGCAGCAGCTTGAAACCTTGTTCAACTTCCAGGGGGTGAAAAACAATTTTGTTTTAAAATTAAGCTCACTTGGCTTCATAAAGTTTTAAAGTTTCAGAATAGTATACCATTTTATCTCTTCTGATTTTAAGTGTCTCTTTTTTTTAAGAAAACAGACCATGTTCTTTAACATTAATTTAAATTTTATTGAAAGAGGAAAATCTATTTTACTGCTTGACCAGAATTAAAAAAAATGACAATTCATCACATTTACTTTGATTAAAAAAATGACTAAACTTTATTGACAAACTGCTGCAGACATCTTGACAAATTTTAGCTACCTATTTCGGCAAGCTTACACATGTAGTAGCATTTAATCTTCCAAGAACAAAATGGGAGGACAGTGTACAAATCTATGTACAAAATAAGCTCTCCTTGGTTTTTCAGCTGCAATGTCCCTTTTTAACATAATGCGAGTGTTGAGACACACAAACATGTCACTGGAATGGCTAAAGCTTGACAGTGTTGCCAATTTTAAGCCTGAGCTATATTATGTACTGCAAACACTCATGTGTTAGCTCTTCGTTAAAGGAAAAAAAAGACACAATGCACAGCTACTTATTTAATACTTCCTAATATCAAAACACTGGGCAGTTAGAGCAATATAAAATTACAGAGCAGCTAGATGTCCACTTCTCTTAAAATGTCTTCATGCACAATTAAGCTAAGAACACCTTTTGCTTGAAAACCTCTGCCGTTAGCATCTCAGCATTTGGGGACAGATTTCAATACCCACTTTGGAAGAATCATTCTACAAACCTAATTTTTTTAAAAAAGTTAAATCTACTGAAGAAAAAAAGCCCCACCATTTAGTTTGTTATGGAGGATCCTTTCTATTGACGTTTAAATTTAAGATTAATCAAGCAATTTGCTGTTAAGGGCAAAATTTTGACATTTGACCTTACTTTTAAACTGTAGCAATCACTACAGTTACCTTATGTTTTAATTCATAAAACAACAACCCTGAATTTTGAAATGTAGCCTACTTTGGGATTCTGCAACTAGAACTTTTATGGGTTGCCTAAAAAACAAAACAAAAAAAAATTTAAAGATTAACAAACTTTAATTCCATAACTGTTAAGCAAGCATGTCATTTTGGAAACTAACATTTTATCTCAACGTTTTCTTTTTAAAGGTACAGTTGTTTTTATATATCTAAACAGAGAAAGAAAAGCAGTCTACACACTTAAAAGTTGAATTCAGTTTTCTAACTCTAACTTATTTAAAATACTACATACAGAAGCAGAATGTAGGGTCGAGTGGTAGGGGAGGATGGAGGTGGGAGAAAAAGGGAGCCAGAGAAAAATCAGGGAGACAATTACTTGTCTGTTGTGGTAAAGCAAGAGGAATCCTGGGAGACACTAGAATCAGAAACAACTGTTTGTTCAAAAGGGTGATTTGCCCCTCATGAATGTTTTAATAGCGTCCGTAGGGGTGCTCTCTGTAGGCTCCCTTCACTGGCCGAGCAGGAGGGGCCTTGAGAGAGGGCCTGGTTCCATTCCAGTCGTCTTGACCTGCAGGAAAGAAACAGCACGTTGGCCCACTTAGTCAAGAGAAAAGAGCAGCAATTCTGGGGTTAAAGAATGATCACGGTAACAAATACTCTCCTAAAGAGATTCCAGGAGGCCACTAAACAGTGTCTTTTCAGGTTGATCCATGCATTTAGTGATATTTAGCACTGGACAGCTTCTATAGCAGTATTTCTCAACCTTGGCAACTTTTAAGATGTGTGGACTGCACGTTCCTGAATGGAATTATGCATTCTATCTACAGAATTGACCAGAGTCTGTCTATTTCTGCCCAGAAGCAGTTTCTTAATGTATCTCTCTACATTAGCTGTGTGCAAAACTGTTCTGGGGATGGTCTAATAGTTGTGTAGAAATAAGCCTCCTGGAAATGTTCCAGATCAGCAGAATGGTGAACTTTGCACACCCCTCCTCTGCTCATACCAGAAGGCATTAACAGTGAGGTTTAAACGCTGCTCTCAAGCTTTCACCCAACCATTTTGTTTTTCCTTTAAGCTACGTACTTAGTATGCTATGTCCTCCCTTTAGGAATTAAGGTGGCTTGTATGGAGCTTAGGAGCTGCAATTATACTCACACCTGCTTAGCATCAGCAAAAGGACTGTATTATGTGTTCTCATAGGCCCAAGCAAAGATGACACAGGAGGGAGCAGTCCTATTCACCCAAACAAAGTACTTAATAGGAGGAGGAGGAGGAGGGAGAGGGAACCAAAGGCTTAGGATGGTAAAACAGAAGGAAGCTGTTTCTGTTTCCATCATCTTTTGATTGGCTAAAACTTCAAAAACTATATTTTAATGTCAACAGATTTCTACCAAATATCTTCAAAACAAATACCCCATGGACAAACTACTTGTGCTAGAATCAACACTGTTGTTTCCCTGCAGCATTCCACAGACCTTATTTTTCTCATTATGGCTGCAGGAAACCAGGGGAAACATCTGCTCCTACCAAACTAATTAATGCAAGCGTGTCTAGGCCCAGTGTCCAGAAAGATGCAGGCCCTGCAGCTGGACCATGAAGCCAGTCCTGTGATTTCAAAAAGGCACAGGCAATGGGGGAGGGGTGTTCTGTGTGAAGCTGAAACAAAATGGGGAAACTGTGCTGAAAAATACCCTGAAGTTTGGTATTGCCCAATCTGGGATAAATTCCAGATTGAAGTTCTTGTATAAAGCCCTGAAGCTGCTTTTCGCTGCTGTAAGCATATTCTCAAAGTGGTCCCTAAAAGCATCAGTTATACACTCAAGGTAGGACCTCCGTTTGAACGGACTGCAAATCATCTGATGCCCAAATTCAGTTAATGTAATAAAGCTTAACCCGTATAATCATCACTGTGTTCCTCTGCCCTAACATGCAGACGTACCATACGCCTCGTAAGATTCTTGAGCTTCACCGTGTCCATAGTCGTAATATTCTGTTTCCCTGCAAAAGCAAGAGGAGGCAGAATTATTCCTTGAAGTGGAGCTGACCTTTTCTAGGCATTATACTGCTGTTACTCAAAAGGACCCAATCTGAGGCTTTTGTAGAATACTTTTTATAAGGCTATGAAACAGTAGACTAGGTTACCAGCTTCAGTCCTACCCACGTATGTGCAGCATTCCCCGATAATGACACCTTACCCATCAGTTCTGCCACATTTGGGCCATTATGTCATATTTGTAACCAAAGGCCAACTTTATCCAAACATACGACACAAGGTAACATCTCTGAATGAAAGACTTCCTTAAAAGCCAACCTTCTGTGGCCTGCATCCCACTAAGCAAAAGGTACATACAGTTTATTGGCATAGACAGTGAAAAGCAGTAAGCTATATACACGTATGGTGAAAAATTAAGAGCAAGATTAATTTGTATAGCTTGGGAGAATGTTCACCAGAATTAGAAAAATGGATAGAGAAATTTTAAGAAGTGCGGAGACAAACAGAAGTAGTAGTACTTAGCCTATTGCGAAAAATAGACTGAAGAAGTGGAAACGGCTGGGTGCTTCTGCTCACTTCATTATATAGAAATTAGAACTGGGTATGTCGGGAGAAACACACAAGTTGGATGCAAGCAGGAGGAGTTATTTAATGAGTGTGTGTGATAAAGCAAGAAGAGATAGGGTCAAGGAAACACAGGTGCTGAATTAAGGTGGGCTGACTGCAAGAGTGACCAACCAGTATGAAAGTACAGTGGTGCTTAAAAGTTTATTACCCTTTTTGAATTTTCAGTATTTCTGCATGAATATGACCTAAAATGTAGTATGTTCTCCACACATGTCCTGAAACATCAGAAACATTATACCTGTTCAGTGATTCATTGAGGAAGATGATCCAAAGCTACCCATTGGTGTGTGGCAACAGTATGTGAACCTTTGCTTTCAGTAACTGGTGTGCCCCCCGGGGCAGCAATAAGTGCCACTAAGTGTTTCCGGTAACTCTGGATCAGTCCTGCACATCGGCTTGGAGGAATTTTAGCCCATTCCCCCTTACAGAACAGCTTCAACTCAGGGACATTGTTGGGCTTCCTCACATGAACCGCCAGTTTCAGGTCTTTCCACAACATTTCTATAGGATTAAGGTCAGGACTTGGACTTGGACGTTCCAAAACATGAACTTTCTTCTGCTTTAACCATCCTTTGGTCGGACAACTTGTGTGTTTTAGGTCATTGTCTTGCTGCAGTTCACAGACAGATACCCTGACACCTTCCTGTAGAATTTGCTGGTACGATCCAAAAGTCATAGTTCCATCAATGATGGCAAGCTGTCCTGGTCCAGGGGCAGCAAAGCAGGCCCAAACCATGATACTGCTGCTACCATGTTTCACAGACGGGATAAGGTTCTTATGCTGGAATGCAGGGTTTGCCTTTCACCAAACATAATGCTTTTCATTCAAGCCAAAAAGTTCTCTTTTGGTCTCATCCGCCCACAGAACATTCTTCCAATAGCTTTCTGGCTTATCCACATGGTTTTTCACAAACGGTAGATGGGCAGCAGTGTTCCT